ATAATGATGTGTGACTGTGATGGGGACATTAAAGACTGATGGGAATGGCAGAGTATTTCTCAGTACAGCACTGTGTGAAATGTTAGCACTATATACGTCAATGATCTGCTCCTGGTTCACTGTAGCCCAGTGCTGTTCTCTGGGCGGTGGGGCCCGGTGTGACCTGTAAATGGTTCCAGTAATATTTCAGTAAGTGGCTGAGGAGTTTGGAGCGATTTGCCTTCCCAGCTGAACACCTTGTAAGCCAAAGCTAATGATGCATATAATCAGGTCACAGGAGTGCCGGAGGTCTGGATCTCTGCTGGCAGGGTGGTGATCTACCTGCACATTGGCAGCTCCGCCTCCAGCGCTTCACATTCTTTTGTTTCTCTCAGAAGCAGATATTTCATCTGGCTGTTAACCCTTCACTTCTTTCAAATGTTAGAGTTTAAAATAATGCTAGAATACCTAACTTTAAAGCTGAACCCCAGGCAGACAGCTGAATACATAGGTAAAATGCATGTATGGGAGCTCGTTTAGCTGCAAAAAGATTTGTTTTTTTTTATCAATCCAGCCCTGAGATTTTCACAGCTCTGGCACACATCACAAGAGACCTGATTTTTCTCTGCTACAGTTTACTAAACTGTTCTAAACTTTTAAGGTTTTGTCCATCCCCCAGTGAAAGGAGAAGCAGCAGATTGATGGGCTCTCCTCTCTGTCACTCTGCTCACTTCCCCTATCCGCATGCTGCTGATGCTGCTTATCCCTTCTTAAGTCTAAAGCTGGTCATTGGTTCAAATCTTGGTCGGTTCAGCAAGGACCAGCTGAGACTCGATCCACGTATGGTCAGGCTGAATATACTCAAGTTATTCCATCACCAACTTGGTTACAACCAGTGTGTCAGATTTTCAGCACACGATTGGCAATAATCATTGGCGATTGGCAATAAGCATTGTGTTTTCCCAGGAGGTAAAAACACACCACACCCCTCGACTGGAAGAACACAATAGCACTGTGGGAGGGATTCCCCAACAACACTGACTGGGATGGGGAAATCAAGCAATTTTTTCCCGTGGTTGCAGGAAATAATTGCATCATCTGTGGCCTGCCTAAACTTTGCTGTTCAGGTATTGCATGATGCTAATAAGTCAAGTTCCGGTACATATACTGCTAGCATAACTACATTTATGGATGTATTAATGAATGCAGAGCTAAATGAATTTGTGCTTTTATTATCTGCCTGAAGTTCAGCTTTAATTCCACTTAGGTGGATACTTCAGTAGCCTGCGCAGGCATGTAATAACAAGACGGATAACAACATTATTTCCCTAATTATTGATGGAATGGATGGTTGGTGTTTGGATTGAACATATTTGGGACAGCATGTTTTGCTTGATAGGGGGAAATGACAGAAGACCTTATGTTGGGCAGTGTTTGTCCTCAAAAAGCCTGTAGGAGTGGAATGTTTCTGAGACGTCTGCCCTCTGGTGGTCACATAACCCAACAACATCTGAGATGTGGCTTTTCTTCTATTTAACTGGAATAATGCAACTACAAGAAATGTGCCGTCCTGTAAGAAGTCTCTCTCCCTCACCCAGATCTGCATTGTAAATACACATGATGCATTCTCAAATCCTCTCTGTTCCAGCACTGTTTGCACATGTCCCAGCACAAATCTCGCCAGACGCTCTCTGTCTGCGCTGCTATCTTCCAAATGATCACATGAATAATTCATTATTGAGATATGGCTTCTTTTTGATGATAATTTAGTATGTGCCCCAGAGAAAGTCCTTTGTGATACAATCTTTATATCCATGTAAACATGAATTATCCTCACAAGAGAGTTCCAGAGTGATGGGGTGTGTGTGTGTGTGTGTGTGTGTGTGTGTGTGTGTGTATATATGTGTGTGTGTGTATGTATATATATATATATATATCTATCGGGCTGGACAAATTTTGCTTCACATCTGGGAGCCCGCTAATAAAGTTAGCAGATAGGTTTTGGGGGGCAGCATCGTAGGAAGGGGGCAGCATCACGGAAGAGGAGCAGTGGGACAGGAGGGGGGCAGCGTCACTGGAGAGGGAGCAGGGAGGCAGGTGGGGAGCAGCGTCACAGGAGGGCAGTGGGCTAGGTGGGGGGCAGCGGGACTGGTGGGGGGCAGCATCACAGGAGGGGGGTAGGGAGACAGGTGAGGGGCAGCGGGTACTGGTGGGGGGGGCAGTGTCGTAGATGGGGGGCAGCGCCACAGGTGGGGGACAGGGAGACAGGTGAGGGGAAGAGTCATGGGTGGGAGGGCAGCGTCGCAGTAAGGGGCAGCATCACAGAAGGGGGGTAGAGAAAGAGGTGAAGGGTAGCGTAACAGGAAGGGGGCAGCACAATATGAGGGGGGTAAGGAGACGGGGGAGGCATCTGGTGTGAATGAGCCCTTTTATCCAAAGATCCAGATAAGAAATTTTCACTGCATTGGGATCTAAGATAAGAACTAAGACCTACTATCAGCAAAGCCATACAAAGATAAAAACAGTTTGGCAGTTTAACAAAAAAAAAAAAAGCACATAAACAGTAAGCACAATTGTTTCCATTCAAGTATAGTTTGCAATGTTTTTTCATTTGTAAAGCACAAAAGTGAAAAGCCATCGTATAATATTATTATTATTATACAGGATTTATATAGCGCCAACAGTTTGCACAGCGCTTTACAAAATGAAGGTATACATTACAGTTACAATACAATTTGGTACAAGAGGAAACAGAGGGCCCTGCTAGTTAGATATAGTTAAAACAACTATAATTCAAAATAGAAAATAGATTCCGGAGTGTCATTCCAATATAAAGACTGATTACTAACACTATTTAAAGCTGCGTTTAGGCAGATATAAAAGACATAAAAATGCAGCTCTGTGTTTATAATAAATAAGGTAATTTAAGTACCTGAATGCAACTTGGTGCACAGTCTGTGCAATGCTCGCTATTCCCTGCCTCGCACACGTTCAGACATATGTCTGTGCTGCCATTCATAGTCAGTCACTTACCACTGACCTACTGATTTCACGCTTGGACAAACTAGCATACACATCCAAGTGGTGACCTATCACAAATATGTCTGCAAAAACTATTTAAGTTTTGTCAAGTGATTTGAGTTACATAAAATAAAAAAATAAGTATCCAAAGAAGCCTTTGAAAGTGTTTCTATTGTTATCTGTTCTACACTTTTACTGATGTTCTCCTTCAAAGATTAAGGGGTCACTCAAATCTGCCCATATAACCCCATCACCAAAACCACCATATTGCAAGTCTGCAGCTGAAGCCACATACTGACTGAGCAAGAATGGCTTTCTTCTGTAGCTTTCCATCTTCTTCATAATGTCAAATGTGCTGGTCAGAGAATTAGTACAATAGACAAAGGCACTTTTCTTAATCAGTATGCTGGGTGTAACAATCAATGGGGTAGATTTACTAAAAATGAAGAGTGCAAAAACAGGTGCAGCTCTGCATAGAAACCAGTCAACTTCCAGTTGTTTTTTGTTAAAGTTTCAAGTAGAACTATAGGCAAAACGTTTTTATATATTTTGGCTAGAGTAATAAAGGATTATGACCCATATCAGTTTATTTTTTACAATCTGTGTCCCATTGAGGAAATTTCCCTTCACTTCCTATCCTGTAGCCAAACAGGAAGTAAAGGGAAGTTCCTGGAAATGAAGGGAACTCCTTGGGGACCCCCAGATCGTCAGAACTAGTGTCCCCATGGGAAGATTTCCCCTCTGTTACTTTTCTGGGAACAACCCAAAATTTGGGATTTTCTTTTCCTTGCACTTTCAGTGATAATGGTAAACAGGACAAATAGAGAGGGTGAATCTCCTTAATGGAGGCACAGCCTGCAATAAAAACTGTTAGGTATTCTAATCCATCTCCACTCTGTCCAAAGCTAAAAAAATGTTTTGCCTTTAGTTGTACTTTAATTGAACAAGCTGAAGTTAGCAGCTGATTGGCTACCACGCACAGCTGCACCAGAATTTGCACTCTCCAGTTTTAGTAAATCAACCCCAATGTCTGTTCTTGTTCTGTGTGTATGGACTCTACACCTTACCACTTCTGTTGTTCACAATGAAGGGTGTAGTTTTCAGTATTGGTTCTTATTCTATATGTATAAACACTGAACTGTAGCACTTCTCTTGCCTGAATGTTATTCATTCTTCAAAGGTGTTATTCTCAGGATTTGTTCTTATGCTATATATGGATACTTCCTATTATCACCTCTCCCATTCTGTGCTTGTGTGTAATTCTCAGTATTTGTTCTTATTGTATGTATGGACTCTACACGATACTTCTTCTCTTGTTGTGTACTCTAAATGTCATTCTCAGTATCTGTTCTTATTGCATGTATGGACTCTACACAATACTTCTTCTCTTGTTGTGTACTCTGAATGTCATTCTCAGTATCTGTTCTTATTGTATGTATGTACTCTACACGGTACTTCTTCTCTTGTTGTGTATTCTAAATGTAATTCTCAGTATCTGTTCTTATTGGATGTATGGGCTCTACAGGATACTTCTTCTCTTATTGTGTATTCTAAATGTAATTCTCAGTATCTGTTCTTGTTCTGTATGAATAACTGCTCTGTATGCTGGGTGTAATTAAGATTACATATTTGTATTCTATATATATGGATGCTGCACGGTAACACTTCTTTTTTTGCTCAGGGTGTGTATGCTGGGATGTAATTCTCAGTATCTGTTCTTATTCTGTATGTATGGACGCTGCACATTAGCACCTCCCTTATCCTCTATGTGGTGTGTAATTCTCAGTTCTGATTTTCTACCCATGAAGGCTTTATAGTATCAGTGCTGTAGGCACTTGTAGGATCTGGGTATGATTTGTTTAGCATTAGAGTGTTAGCTTTTTGCCATTGTTGGGTCAGTTAAGTTCATCTTTAAGATGGATGAGGGTCGGATATAGTGCATAGCACTTTGCAGATGGTAATTTTTTTTTTTTAATTTGCTTTCCACTTTTTTCCCACCAGTATGAGTTCAAAGCCAAAAATATCAAGAAGAAGAAAGTCGGAATCACAGTGTCCCTGGACGGAGTCAAAGTAGTGATGAGAAAGAAACAGAAGGTGAGATTATGCATCACGTATTGATCTGTAAATACTGCACTATCCCCGCAGCACAGCATTGTGGGAAAAGCACCATATCTGATTAACATTTTATCTGAACTAACATTCAGCTTTATTCTAGTAATATAAAGTGGCAGAACTTTCTGGATGAATGTGTGAAAATCTCATTTCTGGCCATGATGTATAATGGATGAGTGCATCTTATGAGGCCACTGGGCGCTGCATTTGATAAAGAGATTGCATGATGGGAATGCTGTGAGCGCAGCTTCAGAAATGGGTGTGTAATAAGCAAAGAAGATGAACGTATTTACAGCAAGGCTTGGAACTTCAGACGGGAGTCATATTTCTGCTTTATTCCCTCATACTCCCTTTACTCTCTTCTGTTCAACTTTCTGAAGGCTTCTTATCCTCCGGTCTGTAGAAAATGTACTGAGTGTGCTATCCCTGAATGTTCACACCTGGGAGATTACTGTCCCTTGTGATAGAAGAGGATATGCTCATTTTCAACTGCTAACAAGACTTGATAAAACCATTGTGTTCTCCTCATGTGAATATTTGGATTGTCTTCATATTGTAAAGATTTGGGAGACAACGTTATGCTGCAGTTTTGTGTCCTTGTTTTTTTCATCTGCTGCAGAATTCTGCTTCATGTTTGTGAAATTCTTTATTCATGTTGAACCTATTGGAATTCTTCCTGAGTTGGGTGCACATGCCTTCATATCTAGGATATAAGAGCCTGGTGAACATTTGATGTGCTTTCATTAAAACACACATTCTATAGAGTTCAATGGGAATATGCCTAAAACGCATGTAAAATGTGCTGAAATATAGTGCTCCAAAAACACACCATAAACACGTGTACCAGCCCTAAGAATCCAATATGTACAATAGGTAGAGGGAGCTGAGAACTGGAATCCATCAGTGATTCAAGAAGATGAAGCTCTTGTATCCACTTATAGCTGAAATATCAGTTTTTAAATAGTGAGTTTTTCTGAGTAGTTAATTGTGTATATTTATTGTAACTCTGGGAATGTGCCAACAGGAAACCTTCCTACAGAGAACCAGCTCCCTCCAATGTGTGTCAGCTTGCTGTCCCTGATCAAAGCTGGCATCATGGAGGTGACTGTGACGGGTAATTGATTTCAGAGCTTTGAAGGTGTGAAGAGAAATCTTGTAGGACTCGTTTATTTTTTATAAAATAGAAGATGAAAAGCGAAGAAATCTCATTTAATGGTGCCTGTGTGTGGGCCACACGCTCATTTACATTAGATGTTTAAGATTCGAATGGGTATTGCAATAAGAGCGACGTTCTATACCAAGTTATCTGCGGTGTATTCTAATTTTATCTGCTCTGCAGTTCATAAAGGCCAGTTTTATGCAATTATCTAAAACTTGCCAACAATGTGGGGGAAGACACCTGCACTGACAAGTAAGTGGTGATGATAATACTGCCAGTCCTATCTTTTGGCTTCACTCTCCTCTTAGTGTTCTTGGAACATTTACAGAGATGCATGAAAAATGTGCTAAAATGCACACCACGCTTGTGGTGTCATTATTTCTTAATGCGGGTAACAGTCGTGCATGAGGCTCAATGTCAAAAAAAGGAGCAGGAACTTCTTTGGCACAATTGTTGCACATAAGGCAGTCCATTCAACTGAATGGGCTGCCCTATGCTGTCACACAAAAAATGTGCAAAAAGCACACAAAAAAATTGATACGTTGCACAACTGTAAATGGGGCGTTAGTGCTGGGCTTATTAGGTGGTGAGGCTGCTTCAGCTGTGAGTCATTGACCACACCCAGCCTCACTTGTAAGACTTGTAAAGCCTCGTACACATGATCAGAAAATCGTCTGAAAAATACTTTTTGTCCTTCGAAGCGATCGTACGATAATCTGATCGTTGGAACATGGCTTTCGACAGCTGATCACAACAGTTTCTCTGAAATTATCTAAAGGGACAAACGCAAATTTTTTTTTATGATATCAGAACTAATTTTTCTTGTATGATATCAGAACTAATGGTTTTCGTTTAACCCGTACGGTTTTTTTTTGTCCGAAAATACAACACAAATACAATACAGTCATTACATCACTTCCGAAGTTCTTTGCTGTCATATGAGAATTTTCGTAAATTGAGTAACTTCTTCATTTTTGATATGGTGACTAGCATGCAAAAAAAAAAAAGGATGATCATTTGTCTGATATTCTCATCGTGTGTACACGGCTTAAGGGTTGAGTGTGAACATGGGGCACTGCAGGCATCTTTTCATCCACTCAGAAGCTCTGCCATCGATAGTCTGCAACTTGGGCAGCTGCTGGGGATTCTCTTGAACTGCAGTGGATGCAGAACAATCAGGCTGTCTATGTTGCTGACGTCAATGATGTCAGTTTCTTTTTCAAAGTCTGCTGTCCTGTATGATGTTTCTAATGGTGTTTTCTGTGCCACAGAGGAAGGAATGGACATGGGATGAAAGTAAGATGCTGCTGATGCACGACCCTGTCTACAGGTAAGAAATCTTCCTCACCCCCAGTCCCACCTATGGCCAAATCCAATTACCCAATACTTAGAGCAGTCTTATTGCTGTGTACACCATCATTATCACAATACACCAAAACAAACCCAGTGTAGTGGTCGCTTACCCATGAAATTTTTCTCTTTCATTCATTGAACACACCTCTGATTTAGATTATCACTATTTAGGTATATTGCCAATTGCAGGGGTTTAACACTAGCCGCACTAAAAGGATCCTAAAAGGACCTGGGGGGCAGTTCCTGCTAGTGGCCAAAACCCCCATCCACAGTAAAGACATGCAGTTATTAGTCTAGTTTCACAAAGATAGTACACATAACTTTCCTGTTAGAAATTCAAAGATTCTTTGGTTTCTTCAAGCAATCTGCTGGCTGGATCTCAGGTAGGGCTATATAGATTTTGGTAAAACCCTCAGTTGCAGCTATCAAGCAAATACAGTTTGTTCCATGCAGGATTGGCTGCACCAGCCCAGTTTCCAAACAGGCAGCCTGTAGGTTTTTTACCCTAAGAGAACACATATGACTGACCAAACTGCTGGTTTGTAACAGTGCCTTCCTTACAGGCCTACAGCACCTCAACTCCAGATGCTGGTGCTCTGCAGTGCAGAGAGCTTTGTGGCTCCTGGCAAGTGTGTTGCTGAAGGTGCGTTGAGTAGATTCTATCTGCTCCTCTCCCTTTTATACCCCATCCCCTCCTTGCTCTTTTCTGTGTTGTCTAGGGGGGTAATAACAAGATGTTTGGAGGCTTCACTGTTAGTATAGAGGTTACCAGCTAGGGTCACTGTGCTTTTGCAGCATATACCCCTTTAAGACACAGGTGTATGGCGGGTAGTGCAGCCAAATGCTTCCCTGTAGTGGGGAACTACTGGAGCTATTGTGGCACTCTGTTTGCTTTTGGGGCATCTACCCCTTTAAGACATGCCTGTCTAGCCATGACAGAGCTAAAGCTGAGTGCCACCATGTGATGCATGCTCAAGAACCTCCTACCTAATTTACCATCTGAGCACATGTTCCTTATATACAATGGTTGCTATCATAGTAAAGGGGGATGTTTTAATTTTTTTTATTATTTATTTTATTTAAAACTTTTTTACACTTTTATTTTAATCAATTTTATTGCTATCACAAGTGATCCCTTGGGCAATGACAGGTACTCTTTACTGAGAGATCTGGGGTCTCTTAGATCCCAAATCTCTCCTCTTCCCCAGTAATGGCTTGTAAACATCAAACTGGAAGTGACTAAATCCTCATCATTCTGTTTGTTATATCACAGAGGGTAGGCGGATATGGATGTACCTTCCTCCCCTCTCTCTTCACAAGAACACCAAGCTGTGGTAATCCTGGCTCCCTGATAGCATAAGAGAGCTGGTGAAGGCAGCGGGTGTGGGGTGCTCTTCTGCATCTTGTAGAAGTGATCAAGCGGCTCTAGCCGTACCCGTACCCGTACGTCCTATGGGGTGAAGTGGTTAAAGATCCTACAGATAAGCATTAATAGACTTCCTGTTGTTGATTGTAGAGGGCCCATTAAAGGGCCCTGCAGTGCTGACTTCTACGATCTGGCAAACCATTGTACAAGCGTATGCTATCAAGCCGTGAGAACTACCATTACACACTCTACTGGGTGGTAATTGCATCCTAGGCTGTCATTGGGCCTCAATTTCACAGGATTGTAAGGCGACCACTTGGACATATATTCATACATTCACCAAATGTCACAAGGTGGATCTAGCAACATCAGCCAATGTCTGTTCTGAGCATAAAGTTTTGCAGGTAGCAGTTTTGACTGGCCTGTACCAATTTTCTTTAAGGCAGTTAGTGTGTGTTTTTGTTCCTATTACAGTATGTACCCGTCCCATTGTGGCACTGCTTTGGAAAGTTCCAGTTGGTGATTATCCAAAGAAGAGCAGTGTGCTTTAAAGGAAAGAGAAAATTAGATTTTGTGTACTCGCTGTAAAATCCTTTTCTCTGCATTCATGGAAAGACACAGAACCCGTCTCTCTAGCTTGCTGCTGCGTCATGTATAAATTCTTTTCATTTTGCTATTTGCACTGTGGAGTGTCCACAGCTGTGGAGGGAGTTTTGGCTACCAGCAGGGGTTGCCCCCTGAGCTGTCTTTTGTATTTAGTGCACCAAATGCTGCAGGTGGCGATTATACCCAGTTGGTGTTCACCTAAAGCAGAGCTATTTCCTCCAATGAACACAGAGTAAAGGATTTTAAACTAAGTAAAAAAAAGTTTATCAAAAACGTTTTCATCCTTCCAGTTACAAAATGTCTGCTTTACTTTATTTGTGATTTATTGTTAAGCAATATCTATGATGGCAGAAGTTGTTCTGAGGGAAAAGATAATACAATACACACCAATCTAGAACAGACTGTATAGCCCCCAATGGGGTACTTCCTACTGTGTCACGTAATTCCAGGAACCACATATGTATTGTCCCGAGTCCTGGTCTGGGAAACTGTCATTGCAATAAACTTTAAAATGGTATTATGGGGATGTTATTGACACTAACAAATAGAATGTGTAACCAGATGCACAGTATTTCTTATTCTTTATTTTTATTTTTTTTATTATAGACACTCCTTATTTATTTTGCTCTTATTCTCTATACAAAGAGAATAGAATTTTGATTAGTGTACTTTGACTTTAAGAAGGAAGAACTGTATTCTGACAGCAGCAACTAAGTCAGTAATTTTCTCACATGGATCACTGTATAACAAAATGTGTCAAACAATGTATAACAAAAATTAAAAGAACATTCGATTTTGTACTTACTGTAAAATTATTTTCTTGGAATCCATTGAGTTACTTAGGAGAAAGGGACCCTGGCAACAAAAAAGGCCGTCGACCAGCACAGAATAACACTATTATCATTCCTCAGTTTTGTAGCAAAGTAGTGCATAATTAAAAATAAAGGGGAAAGACCTGTGTTCCTCAATGGACTCCAAGAAGAGGATTTTGTGTCATTGAGAGACACAGACATCTCATAGAATTTAGACGTTTAGTGTATCCAAAAGCGGTCCAACAGAGGTCTTGGCAACATAGTAACAAAGGCTAACAGGCTCAAGAAAGACAACAAAAAAACAGGGACTGGTATAAGGTAAAGCCTGAAAATGTGACTGGTACAACTTAAAGAAGAACTCCCAATTCAGTTTTTTAGTGTTCTGTCTCCCAGAGGACAAAGTATATGTAGTACTTTACCCCATGCTCCTATGTGCTTTGTTTGGGCTCCTTTTCCCTGTGACCATCCAATAATGTAGCTAGCAAGATGGACAGCTGCTTGCTAAGTGGAACTTGTCTTGATTTCAAACACTTGCCCGAGACAAGCAGTGTAAAATGGAAGGGGATGGAGGGGGCATAGTTGCATATTTAGTTTGGTTGAAAAAGGACACAAGTCCATCTAGCTCAACCAATAAAAAGGAAAAAAAAAAATTATACCATCCTATATACAAAACCCTATACCCAGAAGTGATCCAGAGGAGGGCAAAAAAATACCCCAGCAAAGCATGAACCAATTTCCTCCAGCAGGGGAAAAAAATCCTTCCTGATCCCCCAAGTGGCAGTTACTACCTGGATCAACTTTCCCTATAATGTTAGTATCCAGTTATTTTATGTGCATTTAGGAAAGAATCCAGGCATATTTTTAAAGCAATTTACTGAGCTGGCCCAGAACCAGCTCTTGAGGGAATCTATCCCACCTTTTCACAGCTCTCACTGTTAAGAAACCTTTCTGTATTTGGAGATTAAATCTCTTTTTCTCCAGAAGTAAAGTGTGCCCCCTTCTCCTCTGAGATAACCTTAAAGTGAATAACTCTACTCCAAGTTCACTACGTATATGAACCATGTATGTATTTATATATATATACATGATCATATTACCCCTTAATCTCCTCTTCTCAGGATAGAATAAATTCTATTCCTCCTGTACAACCTCGTTGCTAGGCTTACAAACCATGTAGGGACGTGGGACAAAGTACCTAATGTGCTTTGTCTAACAAAGGCCGGTCAGAACACTGAAAACTATTGAAGTGTAATTTCTCCCTTGGGAAAAACATGAAAAGAGAACAGCACAACTGAAAAAAGCTTGCCCACTCACCTGAGGACACTAGCAAAAACTGAGGCATGACAGTTGTGGGCCAGAGTTGCCAGTGTCCATTTCTTCTATAGGCAGCAGTATAACAGGACAGTCGAGAGTTGTAAAGAATTCCTATGTCCCTCAATGGACTATAAAGAAAAAGGTTATCTTAGCAAATGAGGTAAATTATTTCAGTATGTTTCAATCAATAACTTCCCCCAGCTGTGAGTTATAATAGATTTATACAGCTTGTTACCATGTTATACCCCTAAATATTGGTGTAACATGGTAAGAAAATTGAAGTTAGTCTTTAATCCTATCACTGCCACTGATGTATGTCATGCATTGGCAGCAGCGAGGTGGAGTGTAACATCAATGGTGGCTTGTGTAAACCGGACAAACCAACCGCCCACATGCTTTAGGAACATTTGTCCCCTCATCATGTTTCCCAGGTCCAGCGCACCTGTCGGTCGACACAAGACCAGCATGGCGGGTGCCACCAGGTGGAGGGGAATTAGACCAGCAAACACCTGTTCGCTGATCTCCCCTACCTTTAGAAGAACCCAAAAGTGGTGTGAAATGTCAATTACCTGTCCTGCTTCTTTGATAGCTTTAATGGAGGGCAGGTGACACATCGGGGATCTAGAAGACTCCTGATGTCTCATTAAAGATAACTTGTCGCCAAAAAAAATGATCCCATATAAGGGACTTGATATTTCAATATATTGCATTTGTGTGCCCTAAAATTAAAGTAGAGCTATAGGCAAACACATTTTTTTCATTTTGGATAGCGTAAGGGAGAGCAATAACCCCATTTGGTTTTTTTTGCTATTTCTGTCCCATTGGGAGATTTACTCACTTCCTGTCCCATAGCCAAAACAGAAAGTGAGAGGAAACCCCACAAACTAAGGCAATTCCCGTAGGTCACCAGAACTAGTGCCCCTATCCAAAGATTTCCCCTCTATTACTTTTCTGGGCACAACCCAAAATGTGAGATTTTCTTTTACTTTCACTTTCAATGACAATGGTAAACAGGACAACTAGAGAGGGTGAATCTCCCCCCACCGGTTTACAGCCAGCAATAAAAATCTAATAGGTTTTCTAATCCATCTCCACTCTATAAAGTCAACACTTTTTTTTCTAGTTTTGTAGTTATACTTTAACTTTAGTGTGTTTTTTTTTTTACAGAAATTTTGCACTCAATAAACCATAGCATGAATATTCTGTGACATAAAAAATTGGAACACTATTGTATTCTGCAGGTGTCTGCTTTCAGAAATTACATACTGGGGGGAAGGGGGGGGGGGGGTTAACTAATCTTCATGCCTAAAATTATTTTTTTTTTTTACGTGTGCAAAAGAACCAATGCTAAAAAAACAGCTGTGGCAGCAAAAGCGGGTAATTTATTTATTTATTCTCAATTTGTTCTATTCTCAGTCTGATTGGTGGAGTTTCTGTTTTCCCTATCGAATATTGCCCTCCTACCAGTCAACAAACAAACCTGTGTCTGTTTGCCCTATATTGGCAATATATCCACTGGAGCATTTGCGTTTTGCAGGGCAGAGTAGGGACTGGCCAGAGAAATATTACTTTGAAGCAACTGGCCAGCTTAAACATGTATTCCAATGTATGTAAACAAAAATAAAATCCTGTTTTTGTGCAGAGGGTCCTAAAAAATATTTTTTTTAGTATTCCCAGAAGTGTGTCACAAAGTCAGATGTTTGCAGGAGAATACTTTCCCCCAAGGGTGTGTGCTCATCATTATTCATTTAGGCAGTTGTTTCTGTGACTTCCAGTTTATTGCCCTGCACCAAGATACATCTTTAAATTGACAGTCTTGCCAATAGTCAAAAACTTTAAAAAAAAAGAGATTTTGGGAGGTGTTCACAGCTTGCTGCGAGATTATTGCATAGAGGGTTAAATTTGGATTTAAGCTGCATTCTGATGAGCGGCTAGTTGGCAGTGTGGCAGTTGCTGAGTGCCAGCATAATTTCACCCAATTCCAGAATATGATCATATTCTATTTCCAGCCTGGCTCAGATCACTGCTGAATGTTTAATCTCCTCGCCCCTCTTCCAGGCTGTGCTGAATATTCATGACGGAAACGCCATTTACAGGATGACAGGCAAGCTGAAAAGTTTTTTTCTTTCTTCCTGCAGGATATTCTACGTTTCACACGACTCACAGGATCTAAAGATATTCAGCTATATTGCCCGGGACGGTGCCAGCAACACTTTCAAATGTAATGTCTTCAAATCCAAGAAGAAGGTGAGTGCTACAAACATGGACTCCAGATTTTTCCTTGTGTGCAGGGGAAGCCACCAATCAGATTCATTGTCTGGTTTGCTGTCAGGCAAAGCAGATTGCTCTTCTTTCAGACATTGATAATAACATGATGCTGCCAAGATGATTCTTTAAGAATTGCATGCGATCAGTCGCAGCCAATGTCATGAAGTGTTTGTAGTGAAGAGACTCTTCACATTGTATCAGTTGGCACTGTGAAGAATTTTAGGAATCAACATGGATCTTTTTACCAGTAAATGGCTTTAACCATGAATAAAATGTTAGGTATTGCTATAGTTCACTTAAAAGGCCATTAATCCTTTTTAGAAAACATTGCTTTGCTCTTTGTGATTCTATTTGTCTTATATTTAGGGTGCTGTGGCCTGCATAGTGGCAGCCGTGTAATTATATTCTCAACAAACAACATTTTCTTCTCTGCCTCTCTCGGCAGAGCCAGGCCATGCAGATTGTGCGGACTGTCGGACAGGCTTTTGAAGTGTGCCACAAAATGAGCCTTCAGCACGCCCAGCAGAACGCAGACGGACAGGCGGATGGGGCCAGTGACAAGTCTCTGGAAGAGGCCAAACTGGAAGGTAGCTGGAGACAAAAGTACAATAATGCATTGTGCTCAGCTGGAAGAACAGCTGACAATTGTATTGTGCGCCTCTTAAACTATCTAAATGACAATCACATCCTCACTGACTGCAGCCAAACAAAATGACAAATGGCAATATATGGGCTTATTTTAGGTCTGTTAATATTCCTCAGCCATGCATGTAATCCATAAATTTATATGTAAATGAGCAGCGCTCCCTTTGTCCTTGTGTAATTGCTCATTCAGTGTTCAGCTTGCTAATCACAGCCGGAAAAGGGAGAGTTAATGGCAGGTTGGGAGGATCTTGCTGAAGAAGCAGATATTTTGACACCTGATACAGTTAGAAATGTTTTATACTTGATGCAAATTCCATGCAAATGAAGCTGCGGGCGGATTAGTATTCTGTGTGTGGTGACAATTTATTAAAGCCTTTTTTTCTCTTATTTTTTTTATAATCTTTTCTACTTATAATAGGGCGACAGCTGACAGGAGCAGAAAATAAAGATACACAAGAAGCTGATGGAAATCTGAATAGTGCCGCCGCAGAGAAGAGAACCTGTGAACGTGCCGTGTCTGCACCAGACTTGGGCCTTGTCAAATGTCTGCCAGTGCTAAAAGAACAAAATGGCCAGGTAACACATTAACAAAAGGATTCTGGGTACTCACAGTAGACATTGGCAAACCAGAGTAAACTTTTTTACATTGGTCTACAAAAGTTATAATTATTATAGCAGCTCCGGACTGTTGCAGTATTCATGTAATCACATTCAACAATTATTATTTCAGAAATTATATTGGATAGTGACATGGAGTGTATGGTAGTGGACATAAGGTGACAGACATAAAAATCTCACACTATCTGCATAGTGACAGCAATAACTTTAATGTCACTGGTGATACTGACTGCCTGAGCTCAAATGTAAGAAAGAAAGTAAATCTGTGTGAGTTACTTTACATGCCTTTTATTTGACGATGTGATGTTTTTTGTTTTGTTTTTTTTTTAAACTTGGTTTTAGTGTGTAAAAGGCATGTCAGGTATACATGGCAATAATCAAGCAATCGGTGTACAAAATGAGCAGTGATACCATCATAAGATGAATGCAGTCTCCAACAGTACAAACGTAATATAAAGTCACATACCCCATTATAAGTAGTACAATCATGGCAATAGTATCTGATGCACACTAACTGCAGGTATAGATATATAAGAAGCCATTTAATCATGGTTTTATACAACTCAAAACCAGCCAATTGGCAGAAACATCCTGCACATCAAAGAAAAAAGGTACAAAAAAACAGAAAGAACTCGGCATGTACCAAAATAAAGTGCGTTAACAGAAAAAGTTAATTTACCTATATCTGGGAAGAGAGGTAGGTCATTGGGCAAGGTAGCTTTCAATAAAGAAATATCGATTTCCCAGTGGTGAGATATGGATAAACATTAGGCCAATAACAGAACAATTCCTCATATGGGGTCAGATATCAGAGGTAATAAAGCCAAGGGCCCCAAAGTTTATAAAACTTTTGGGACATCCTCTAGGTTCATACGTCAATTTGTACAAAGGTAAGGTATGATCAATAACCTTCTTCCATAGTCCAATATGTAGTGTCTCTGTACGGGTCCAATTAAGCACAACTGTCTCGCGGGCATAATAAAGCAACAGATGAAGGAAGTGTTTGGAAATGGCAGACATTTCTAAATCTTTAAATATTCCCAACATGCACCATTTAGGACAACAAATATTAGGGAGGTCGAAGGTGTCAGCAATAACTGCCGTCACCTGCGGTCAAAAGGGTCAAATCCTCTTACAGCTCCAAACGATATGTAGAAAGTCACCAGGCTCACTTTAACATTTATGACAGATAGGAGTATCTCTCTTATGCATTTTAAACAAACAGGCCGTAATGTAATACACTCATTGCAGATAGTGGAACTGAATAAGCTTCTCTTTAGCCGAAATCACTGTCCCCCGAGTGTGAATTAAACAACTCTTGCCAGTTTTTTGAGCTGAGATCAGGGATATCTCCCAACCATTTGTTCTGCATTTTCAATAGGTAGGAGTCAGGTTTACCCATAAGCAAAGAATAATAGGAAGATATCAAGCTCCTATGGTCTGGACAAAGGACGGCCCGTTCAAGTGTCGAATTAGTAAGGAGAACATTACGAAGGCCAATTTGTGCTTCCGCAGCATGCCTGAGTTGTGCATTATAGAAGGACAAATGCATTGGAATACATAACTCCTGGCACCATTGCACAAAAGATTTGAACGTGCCCCCCTCATACAGTTGGTGTAGATAAGTTAACCCTTGTCTTGCCCATAATTGACCACAAGTAAGAGAAGAAAAATGTGATAAGCTTGGATTATGCCACAGTGGTTGGTTAGGGGAACAAATATGATCTTGTTCAGCTAAGGAGATAGAACACTGCTTATAAATATGGAGGGATACATGAAGAATAGAAGTACCCTTAGTAACATGTAAGGATTGTCTAAATAACAAATTGGATAAGGCTTCATAGGAGGAGAATATAGCAGCCTCTGTTGCATTTGCAGCTTTGGTCAGCTGCGGAAACAACCACCAGTGTATGTATATGACTTGAGCAGTATAATATACCGTGTTCCAAATTATTATGCAAATTATATTTTTCTCATTTACCTAAATAATTGATGTAAATAACAGTCAGCATAATTCTCATGTTATAAACTATTAAGAGTACAATTTACATTTTATTAAACAAACCTCCTAATGATAACAGGATTTTTGTTAAACATAAAAAACTTACAATGCACTGTTCCAAATTATTACGCACAGTAAGTTTCAAAACACTTTATAGGTTGTAAAGAACTGAAAATTGTCATTTGTTGTGTTTGCAGCATATTTTACTGAAATCAAAAGCTATTTCAACCAAACTTTTAACAACGTTTTAACTTTTTAAACATTTTAACAGGTCATGTTACATTGTAACATAGGATCCCTTATTTGATAGCAGCTTCACAAGTCTTGCATCCATTGAACTTGTGAGTTTTTGGACAGTTTCTGCTTGAATTTGTTTGCAAAATGTCAGAATAGCCTGCCAGAGCTGCTATTTGGATGTAAACTGCCTCCCACCCTCATAGTTCTTTTGCTTGAGGATGCTCCAAAGGTTCTCAATAGGGCTGAGGTCAGGGGAAGATGGAGGCCACACCATGACTTTCTCTCCTTTTTATCCCCATAACAGCCATTGATGCAGAGGTATTCTTTGCAGCATGAGATGGTGCATTGTCATTCATGAAGATAATTTTATTACGGAAAGCATAGTTCTTCCTTCTGTACCAGGGAAAAAAGTGGTCAGTCATAAACTCCACATACTTTGCAGAGGTCATCTTTACACCTTCGGGGCCCCTAAAGGGGTTGACCAGCTCTGTTCCCATGATTCGGGCCCAAAACATGACTCCACCTCCGCCTTGCTGATGTCACAGCCTTGTTGGAACAGGGTGGCCGTCCACCAACCATCCACTACTCCCTCCATCTGGACCATCCAGGGTTGCACGGCACTCATCCGTGAACAGGACTGTTTGAAAATTAGTCTTCATGTATTTTTCTGCCCAATGCAGCCGTTTCTGCTTGTGAGCATTGGTTATTGGTGGCCGAATAGAAGGTTTATGCACAGTTGCAAGACTCTGGAGGACTCTACACCTTGATGTCCGTGGGACTCCAGAGGCACCAGCAGCTTCAAATATCTGTTTGCTGCTATGTAATGGTATTTTAGCTCTCTTCATCCGATGCATGGATCTGGCAGAAATCTTCCTCAATGTGCCTTTATCTGCACAAACCCGTCTGTGCTCTGAATCAGCCACAAATCTCTTAATAGTGCGATGATCGTGAAATATCTAATGTTTTCATACCTCGTCCAAGGCATTGAACTATTTCACTCTTTTCGGCAGCAGAGAGATCCTTTTTTCTTCCCCATATTGCTTGAAAATGGTGCTCTGCTTAATAATGTGGAACACCCTCCTTTAGTAGTTTTTCCTTAAATGGGGCTCACCGGCCAATCTAATTATCACAGGTGTTCAAGATTGTTTTCAGTGATTAAAAGAGCCCTGACACACAATGCCACCCATGAGTTAAACTTAAAAACAAAATATTTAATCTTTGTGACACTTAAATAGAATTTGCATAATAATTTGGAACACTGTCTAATACAAGCTTAGATTAGGAAGCGCTAAACCTCCTCTATTAGTAGGTAATTGTGGAGTGGTCGAGGATACCCTGGTGGTTTAGGGTACCGCAAGAAGGGCGTAAGAAACGTCATCTTAAATAAGATCATCCTTCCCAATAAGGACAAGGGAAGCTTAATCCATTGAGAGACCTTAGTATGGAAGGAGATACAAGGTGCTAAATGATTGTCATAAAAGTTAGCCAGAGGGAGTTACATAGTTAGTCTGGCTGAAAAAAAGACAAAAGTCCATCCAGTTCACCCATTAAAAAAAAAAAAAGTTATAATCCTATGCCCACAGTTGATCCAGAGAAAGGCAAAAAACCCAGCAAAGCATGATCCAATTTGCTCCTGCATGGGAAAAAAATCCTTCCTGATCCCCCGAGAGGCAATCGGATATTCCCTGGATTAACTTTACATATAAATGTCAGTATCCAGTTATATTCTGTGTATCCAAGAAAGAATCCAGGCCTTTTTTAAAGCAATCCACTGAGCTGGCTAGAACCAACTCTTGAGGAAGTCTATTCATTTTTTACACCTTTTACTGTGAAGAAACCTTTCCGTGTTTGGAGATTACATTTCTTTTCCTCCAGATGTAAAGAGTGCCCCCTTGTCCTCTGTGATGACCTCAGGGGAATAACTCTACACTGAGTTCACTATATGAACCACTGATGTATTTATACATGTTGATCATATTCCCCCTTAATCTCCTCTTCTTAAGAGAGAATAAATTCAGTTCCTCTAATCTTTCCTCATAGCTGAGCTCCTCCATGCCTCTTATCAGTTTGGTTGCCCTTCTCTGTACTTTCTCCAGTTTCCCAATATTCTTTTTGTGAATCGTGTCCAAAATTGAACTGCATATTCCAGACGAGGTCTTACTAATGATTTGTACAGGGGTAATATATCTCTCTCTCTGGAGTCTATACCTGTTTTAACACAAGAGAGGATTTTGCTCGCTTTAGGAATCACAGCTTGGCATTGCATGCCACTATTAAGCTTTTGATCTACCAGAACTCCCAGATCCTTCTCCACCATTGATTCCCCCAGTTGTACCCCCCCTAGTATGTATGATGCATGCATATTCTTAACCCCCAAGTGCATAACCTTACATTTATCAACATTAAACCTCATTTGCCACATAGTTGCCCAATTAAACAGTGCATTGAGATCGGCTTGTAAGTTGGAGACATCCTGTAAGGACATTATTCCACTGCACAGCTTGGTGTCATCTGCAAAGACGGAAATGGTATTTCTAATTGAAGACCCTATATCGTTTAAAAATATATATTAAAAAGTAAGGGTCCCAACACTAAACCTTGGGATACTCCACTAACAACCCTAGACCATTCAGAGTATGAATCATTAACCACTACTCTCTGAATATGATCTTTTAGCCAGTTTTCTATCATTTACATATGGATTTTTCCAAGCCTGTAGCCTTTACCTTACACATTAGCTGTGAATGGGGAACTGTCAAACGCTTTTTCAAAATACAAGTATACCACGTCCACCACCACCCCTCTGTCCAAAGGTTTGCTCACCTCCTCATAAAAGAAATCAGATTTATTTGACAGCTCCTGTCTTTCATGAATCCATGCTGTCTGTTGCCTAAAATACTTTTTCCAGCAAGAACTCATCTATGTGGTCTTTTATTAAACTCTCCAGTATATTCCCAACTATAGAAGTTAAACTAGCAGGTCTATAATTACTTTGTAAAGATTTTGACCTTTTTTTAAATATTGGCACTGCATTGGCCCTATGCAAATCCAGTGATACTATGCCAGTCATTAAAGAGTCCCTAAAAATTAGAAACTTGAACCTCTATCCCCAGGTATCGAAATTTAGATGTGAGTTGTTGTGGGCAACTAGGAGACAAACAAAATGAGGGGATCTCATCTATGAGGAACAAATTGGACTTAGACCAGTTCACTTTGAAACCTGAGTATTGCCCAAACTGCTGAATTAGGGAAAGGACATGTGGTGCAGTGGTCTGAGGGTCCGAGATATACAATGTGGTCGGCATAAAGTAAAATTCGTTCTTCCAGAGTACCAGTTGGAATTCCCTGAGCCAGAGAGGAAGTCTGTAGTTCCACCAATGGTTCTATAGCGAGTGCAAATAGCAGAGGTGAAAGTGGGTAGCCCTGCCTTGTGCCCCAACATATTGGAAATGATTTAGAGATTAGACCATTAACCCTGGTACGAGCTCGTGGTTGGTTATACAAGATATGTATCCACATAAGGAACCCTTCCCCAAAACCATATTTCTGTAAAACCAAAAATATATAGAGCCATTCTATGGAATCAAATGCCTTGAGTATCAAGCGATATCATTGCCCTAGGGGAATCTGTGGCACCCGGCATCTGAAGATTAGTAAAGAGTCTATGGAGATTAGTATAAGTAGAGTACCCAGGAATAAACCCCATTTGATCGGACTTTGCCCGGTGGCAGCAGTCAGGATTAGTAAGGAAAGTAGCGGAGCCACCACAGCTCCTAAGCAGCACTGTTCACATCTTCGCTGCTGGCCACGCCCCCTGACAACGTGATCTTAAGCTTACACAAAAAAGCATTGTTGTGAAATTAATATTTTTCCCTTTCAAATGCACATTTAGCCTAATAAACCATTTTTCTCTTGAATTATTATGTATGTCCACTGGAATGGTTCCTTTTCCTGCACTTCACAGTAGATAGAGAAGTCACTGTTATCACCAGCCATATGGAGCAAAACCCAGGAGATAATATTTGTGAACTGACTTCTCATGCAAAGCACATCAAAAATTTAAAATATACATGAAGGCAATTATTTCAGCAGATTTGAGCCACAAAACAATTACATTGAAAAAAGACTTCCCTAATATTGGCAGTACACGGAAATGAACATGCAGCAAGTGTTTTGTGAAATGGTGCTATCTTTTGTAAGGGTTATGAGCTTTGGGAAGATCCATTTATTACAGCGGAGAAATGAGCCACATCATGTGCGACTTGAAAGTTGCTTGGTTTATTTATTTTGTCAGCGTCTATAGCGGAGATTTATGAGACGCTCTTTCATTTGTTTATGGCATTTCCAACCAATAAACCACTCAGGAGTAAATGGTCTCTAAATTAAGTGTGAGCGTCCTGTAAATTGGTAGGCTATAATTAACAGTCTGATATTGTCCTGTCACTGATTGTCCTTGCTGGCCTTTAGAGTTTTGGGGTTTTTTGGCTTGTGGAGTCCCCTAGTGGAAGGCTTCTTGCAATGACCGCAAAAAAGTAGCAGAACTGATGAATGAAAACTGAAGGAAAGATCCAGCAGCCAGTCAGATTCCATGCATCTTGATTGCTTGCTGATGACAAAAGCCTCAATTGTCACTTTTCTTAATGAGATGTGGGCAGGAATAGACTGCTGTGTGCAGCCATATGTGACTGACCACTCCAAAATCTGCAGATGCACCTACTTGCCTCTCATATTGCTCTCCATTACCCTGGAGTGGTCAGCTGCTTGTCATTTGTGTAACTTTCTTATGTAATGCCTTCTGGATTGGACATGATGTTAAATCCACTTTTTGCAGCTCTATTTCAGGAAGTATTTTTATTTCATGACTCTGAAGCATATACCCAACCCTCGCTGTCTGTGCTTTGATTACAGGATATTGAAAATTGTTCCGCCTACTCAACACTGTCCCAGAAATTTCATACCTCAAGCTGTGCTTCTTCTGTCTCCGTCCTCACCCCTCTGGCTTCACAGCACCGACTGCAGCTTCTACAGCACCAGCTTCTCCAACAGCAGCAACAGACGCAGGTGGCCGTAGCCCAGGTGAGTGCACGGTCTTTTATATGATACCAGACCTCCCAGACTGTATTAGACTGGGAGTTTTGCTCTCAGCTGTTTTAGGTGCAGAAAGAACAATGAAGCAGGTTAGGTGGAAACAATGTGATAAATTATGAGCCCATTTATGTTCAAATAAAGATTGTTGATGTAAAGCTATTTGGCTCTCGGGCATTAAGTTTTGCAGAGTAAATCTAATTTTGCATATGGGAGGTAAGGTTTCTGTCCTCTGAGCAACTAAAGCTTTAAAGATGAAATAGAAAATAATTATTAGGAGGATACCTTACTTTAAATTCCAACATCGATAAGAGACTTTTATATAGAAAAGCTTTAGGTATCAGAACTACATTTCATGAAAACAATTTTAAAAAAATGTTAATTTCTACATAAAATTATTTCTTTAAAGTGGAAGTAAACCCACTTTTATATCTTTGCCTGCAGGTAAGCCTATAATAAACCTTTCCTGTAGGTAAAATAAATATCTCCTAAACGTGCACTGTTTAGGAGATATTCACTTTTTTTGACAGCCGGCACATGTGCTCTGAAGGAACAGCATACCCACGCCATTCCTTGAGAGCACTGTGCCATGGCCAAGACTCCTCCATGTATGCGTGGGAGTGACGTCATCGTGGCTCAGCCAGTCAGACGGCTGGAGCTTCCGAACCCTGAAGAAAGACCGGGTGAAGATGAAAGCCTCTGCAGCGGGGACAGCGCACTGCTGGAGGGCTTCGTTTTAAGGTAAGTCCTTCATAATGTGCTAGTATGAGATGCATACTAACACATTATCACATTAACTTGCAGGGGATTTTTTTTTTTTTTTTCTCAAGCTGGGGTTTACTACCGCTTTAATAGGCTAAATGGCCAAACAAAAGCAACACACTTGTATATAGCCCCTTATGTCCATGAATAGTCTATATAGTGATGCATATAGCAGGTTTGCATCAATTATTATTGGTATCTTGTCCTCAGAAGAACACCTAAGATAATTCAAAGTTGTATTTTTGTTTAAAATCCTAAGAGAAAACCACGCAGGTGTATAATATCACAGCTTGGCCACCAAAACACAGTTCAGTCCCTGTGTAGGGATTAGACATGTGCAGTTTGTTTAATCCCCCTGACAGAACACAATAGCTCAGTGAGGAGATCACTGTACTAGGATCAAGTAGTACGAGCTCCTCAGTTTTTGTTTTTTTTTTTTTTTGCTCAGCCCGCTAGCTTGAGCGAAAAGCAACTTACTATGCATACCAGGCTTTAGGGTGGTTTAATTGGCATAGGAATATCTAACATATGCGCATAAAGCTCTTTGTAAGCTGTGAAGCAGCCATGAAGTACATCACCCAAATCCAGGTATAGAGTCATGTGAAAAAGTATATACACCCCATGGAAATTGTTGACTTGTTCAACATCTTTGAATGATCATTCTTCATAAGGTTAACATATTTTCAAAATGAAATACGGGCACAGCTTACTGACCATGCCAACTATTAACGACACCCACAAAATCACACCCACTTTTTACATGCCCTCAAACAATTGGTCACAGACTTTTGCTACAAGAAACAGAGTTTAAGGACAAACCAATTTCAAATAAGAGGCACCAGGATATGCATGCATAGTTAGGAGAGGACACTTAAATAGTATGAAGAAGAAAACTTCTGGAGGCATGGCAATAATGTGGGTGTTGTTTTCTAGTATTACACTTGTAGTGTGAGAGTAAAACATGACCCAACATTTGTGTCATTGACAGCAATAGCCTCCTCCTGAGATCTAACAGCAAATGATCAAGTTAGTTGTAAAAGTTCCAATGGATGATCAGATAAGGTTGGCATCTGCTAACTGCAAGCAGTGAGATCTTGCCTACTAAACCACCTGCAGACATTGGAGTGTCCCCAGACCCTTAAGATGGCTAAACACCTCCTCTAACAAGCCCATCGATCTCTAATTGCAAATCGTCATCTAATTACAATAGATGATCCGATAAAGGTGTCATCAATTGCAATTGGGGGTGTGAGAGGGCAGCCTGCCAATAATGGGATGCCTGGCAACACTGCCAGAGCACCCCACATCCCATTTCCAATGGGTAGCTTTGGGGAATATGCAGCAAATCTGCTATTCTGCAGTAAAGACACACTTAGCCATAGAGAGACATGTGGCCTGAGCTGTGTCAATAAATAATTGGGGAACATTCCGTGCACACAGGCAGCGGTGGTACATGGCACTGGCACCACCTAGGAATAGCTGGGCAGCCCAGAACCAGCCCTGGGACCTTTCTAAAAGTGCCACCTGGAGCTGCATGCCAAAAATCTGCCCATAGATAGGGCTAACAACTGTAAAGCCAGCAGAGATACCATTGTAACAACAGTGATCAGCCAGTACTACTGGGAGAACCTGGGGCGCCATACATGGCTCAGCCCCCCCAGCCTCTTACGGACACTTCTTTTTGCCTTAGCTTGGAAGAAGAGGGGCAATCAAGGGGGAAAGGGAGTGGCCAGCTATGGAAAAATGAAAACCGAGGCCATGGTTGTTCCAAGCTGTACAGAAGGCGAGACTATGTTTCAACTGTCGGGGAGAGATAACTCCACCTGACAAGTCTGGCTTCTATCAGTGCTGGGTGCTGGAATGCACGGTGCTGCCACTCAGAATGTTACTGCTTCGGGGAACACTGTCAGGAATGCTTGTTTCCCAGGAAGAGACTCTTCAAATTGGGCACAGCAACGGCTTTTTCATAACATACCTCAATACAGGTTAAATTGGTGCAATCTCTTTTTTATTGTAAATGCATGCATTTGGATCCCAACGGTTGCAAGAGTTACTTGAACACCCCGTGATGAGATTTTGGGTTTTCATGAGGCTCCATTTAACATCAAATGATCAGGAGGGGGCGGGGCTTGTGCATAGTGACGTGGGAGAGCACAATGTAGGTACTCTCCGATACCTCTGACTCTAACCTCCCCTATCCTCTATGCTCTAGTCGAGTAACTATCTTCCTGGGACCTACCTGTGAGAGAGGTGGCCGGGGCTCTGGTGGTGAGGTAGCGGCCTTGTGGGACGAGAGCGGGTTCGGCAGTCATTCTCCCCGAGGCTTGCAGCGGTGATCCCCGGAAGGAGAGTCGGGTTGCCGGGGAAACGAAATGACGAGGCGGAACCACGTGGGTAGCCGCAAGGAAGCGCTGGGAGGAGGAGAAGCCGGCCGGCGTCCGGAGGAGAGAGCTAGAGACGCGGTCTGTTCCCCAGCTTACTCCCTAGTCCGCTCCTTGGATTTTCCGGATGGATGATGAACTCAACATCCTGCCTGAGCCCTAGCTGAACGAACTGAGATACCCTGAGGAACTCCCCTAAGGTAGGAAAAAATTGTCCGGAGAGACTGATGACAGGAGAGAGAGGAGGGGGAGAGAAAGCAGCTCTGAATAATTGTATAATGCTTGGTATGGCATAAAGGAACAGTGTGTGAAGTAGAGAAGGGGGGTTCCTAGGGGGCTCCTAGGGGGTTTGAAGGTATGGAAGAGTAAGAAGATTAAATTAAATGACCCTAGAAAGTTCAAGCGGACAATTAAATAGTGGGCCAAATCCGGGTCCCTAATGTCTATTTGAGTTTTTCCGTGGTGTCTATAGAAGAGGTCAGAAGATATGAAGAATAAAAGTAAAAATAAAGGAAGCGGGTCCAAGGGAGCCCAGTCCATTCCGATTAAAAAGTATACGTGGGGAATGTGACCCCAGAAAGACCCCTAGAGATAAAGGAAAAGAGCGAATTGGAAATTAGTTTGGAAAAAAAGTCCTAGACTATCCCTAGGAATGGACAATACCAGTCAACATATGTTAGAAAATATGGAGGGGAGAGAACTTGAAAGGGAATTGCAAGTGCTGAATAAGAAAGAGATGGCAGAAATGTTTAAAAGCTTGGAAAAGTCAATAAAGCAAGAAATAGCAATGATACGGAATGATCTTGGGCAATTATTATACAGAGTGGAAGAAACGGAGGAAAAACTTAAAAATCATGCGCAAGATATCTCAGAACTTAAGAAACAGACACTGGAAATCAGGAAAGATCAAAAAAAATTGCTCTACAAAATAGAGTTCAAGAAAATAGGGATAGAAGGAATAATCTCAGGATACGAGGAGTTCCAGAGAGTTCACAGGGGGAGGACTTGAAAGGGTTAATGAGTAAAATCTTAAACTCCATAATGGACAGACCTATCTCAGAAATGTTTACATTGGACGGTGCATTCAGAATAGGAAAAGTCCAACAAAGAAATGGTAGAGAAAGATCGAGCGACATAATTATCCAATTTCATAGGCTGAGTGATAAAGAAGAAATTTGGAAGAAAATTAAGGGAAGAACAAGTATCAAGTATGAAGAAATAAACATTCAAATTTTTGCGGTTTTAGCACCGGAGACATTCTGGAGAAAGAAATCTCTAAAACTCCTGGTAGATCAGATGAGAAAACAGAATGTGCATTATAGATGGGGAGTCCAGGCGAGCTTAATTGGATGGAAAAATGGACTCACGGCTATTTCTGAGATTTCCTGAGGACTTAAGAGACTTTTGTGATAGACTTGACTTACAGAGAATAAAGTTCCAGGGTGGGATGAGGAAGAAGGAGATATAGGGGCTATGGGGAAAGAGGATTGGCAGCTAGTAAGAGGGGGAAAGTAGGGAGGGGAGTGGAGGAGAGGAGTGAGGTTTGTTTTTTGTTTTTTTTTCTCTCTTCTCTTTCCTCTCTCTCTATCTCTACGATGGTTTCTCTGTTCGAATGCTGTTCTTATTTTTAAGTGTCTGTGAGAAGTCATTGAACTAGATGGATAAAGGGAAAGGAGGGTTGGGTAAAGGGGAGCCGTATATGGACGGAGTTCAACCCCAAGGTTTTAAATCAAAGGTGGGTTTTGGCCCACAAATGATTAGTAGGCAAACTTTAAGCCTAAAAAGGGGGAGGGCGGGGGTTGTGATGAGGATGGGGGGGGGGGGTGAGGAGAGGGAGGGGGGTATTAG